TGGCTTTTTAATAATAGTTATTCTAACTGGTGTGAGATGGTATTTCATTGTAGTTTTAATTTGCATTTCTCTAATGATCAGTGATGTAAATTTTTTTAATGTTGATTTTGTATACTGAAACTTTACTAGTTGCAGAATGTTGTTAAATTTAAACATTACATTTTTTAAATGTTGGTTTTGTATACTTCAACTGTACTAGTTGCAGAATGTTGTTAAATTTAAAAATTATATGTTTTTTTTTTTTGAGACAGAGTCTCCCACTGTCACCTAGGCTGTAGTGCAGTGGTGGGATTTTGGCTCACTGCAATCTCCACCTTCTGGGTTCAAGCAATTCTCTTGCCTCAGCCTCCCAAGTAGCTGGGACTACAGGCATGCACCACCACACCCAGCTATTTTTTTTTTTGTATTTTTAGTAGAGGCAGGGTTTCACCATGTTGGCCAGGATGGTCTTGATCTCGTGACCTCGTGATCTGCCTGCTTTGGCCTCCTCAGCCTCCCAAAGTGCTGGGATTACAGACCTGAGCCACTGCACCAGGCCTTATATGTTTTTTTTTTAAAGTTGACTTTATATACTTCAACTTTACTAACGGCAACTTTACTAGTTCTAATAGCTTTTTGTGGAGCTCTTAGGATTTTCTACATATGGGATCATGTCATCTGCAAACAGGAATAGTTTTACTGCTTCCTTTCTGATTTAGATGTCTCTTATTCTTTTTCTTAACCAATTGCTCTGATGGGGACTTCAAGTACTATGTTGAATGTATGTGGTGATAGTTGGGATCCTTGCTTTATGCCAGATCTGAGAGGAAAAGCTTTCAGTTTTTTTCCCATTGATTATACGGTTAGCTGTGGACTTTTCATAAATAACTTTTACTGTGTGAGGAAATTTCCTTCTATACCTATTTTGTTGAGAGTTTTTATCATGAAAAGATGTTGAATTTTGTCAAATTCTTTTTCTGCATCAATTGAGATAATTGTGATTTTTATCTTTTATTTTGTTAATGTGGTATAGGACAGTGATTGATTTTTGTATGTTAAACCAGCCTGGCATTCTGGGGATAAATCTCCCTATGTCATAATGTAGAATGATCTTGATATGTTGTTGAATTCAGTTTGCTGATATTTAATTGAAGAGTTTTACACCTATGCTCATCAAAGGTACTGGTCTGTAGTCCACTTTTCTTGTGGCATCTTTATTTGGTTTGGTGTCAGGATGATGCTGGTTTCATGAAATGAATCATAAACTTTCCTTTTACTTCTATTTTTTGAAGGGTTTGAAAAGAATTAGTATTAATTTTTCTTTGAATGTTTGGTAGAATACAGTGATGAAACTATCTGGTTTTTGGCTTTTATTTGTTGGGAGGACATTAATTACATTTCAATCTCATTATTAGTTATTAATCTGTTCATGATTTCTAATTCTTTTTTATTCAGTCTTGATAGGTTGTATATTTCCACAGACATATCTATTTCCACTTATACAATATATTGGCATACAATTGTTCATAATAGTCCCTTGTGATCTTTTAAAATTTTATTACTGAGGCTTCCATTGTAATGTCTCTTCTTTCTTTTCTGATTTTATTAACATAACCCAAGAGGTGACTGATGTTGTCTTTGTCCATTTGTGCTGCTGTAACAAAATACTTGAGACTTAGTAATTTATAAAGAATCAAAAGCCTCAGGCACCCTACTCTAATTGGGGAAAGCTGTGGCATGGGCTGTACCAAGGAAAGATTTGTCTCACGGAGATATCTATTTTTCCAAGGTCAAGGAACTGGCTGGTTCAGTATCTAGGGAGGGCCTTTTTCATTGATCATGTCTTCTCACTTTGGCACACTCTCACATGGTGGAAGATGGAAGTGTAAGAGAGGTGAACACTCTCTGAAGCTTCTTTTATAAGGGCATTAATCTATTTATCAATTGAGATTCAGTTTCAACATGAATTTTGGAGAGAATATTTACATTTCAGCATCTATACACTGAAAATTATAACACATTAAGAAAAGAAATCGAAGAAGACACAAATAAATGGAAACATATCCTTTGTTCATAGATTGGAAGAATTAATATTGTTAAAATGTTTGCACTATTCAAAGCAATATATAAATTCAATGTGGTCTTTATCAAATTTCAATGGGGTTTTTCGTAGAGATGGAAAAAACAATTCATATAGAACCACAAAAGATCCTGAACATTCTAAATTTCATAAAGAACCACAAAAGATCCTCAATAGCCAAGGCAATCTTGAGAAAGAAGTACAAAGTTGGAAGCGCCATACTTCCAGATTTCCAGCTATGTTACTGTATATATAGTAATCAAAATGGTTTCATACTGGCCTAAAAACAGACATGTAAACCAATGCAACAGGATTGAAAGCCCAGAAATAGGTCCAGGAATATATAGTCAACTATTTTTCAATAAGAACACCAAGAATATATGATGGGGAAAAGATAGTCTCTTCAGTAAATGGTGCTGGGAAAACTGGATAGTCAGATGCAAAATAATAAAAATGGACATTTATCTTATGCCATACACAAAAAATCAACTCCAAATGGATTCAAGATCAATTTGTAAGACTTGAAACCATAAACTTTATAAGAAAACATAGGAGAAAGGCTTCTTGACATTGGCTTTGGAATGTTATTTTGGTTATCATACAGGCAACAAAAGCAAAAATAAACAAATGGAAGTATATCAGACTGAAAAGCTTTGCACATCAAAGGAAACAGTTAACAAAATGCAAAGGCAACCTACAGATTGGGAGAAAATATTTGTAAACCACATTTCTGATAAGGTATTAACACCCAAAACACATAAGGAACTTAAACAACTCAACAGCAGAAAGCCAAATAATCTGATTAAAACATGGGTAAAGGATCTGAATAGACATTTTTCCAAAGAAGACATAAAAATGGCCAACAGGTATACAAAAAGGTACTCAGCCTTGCTAATCATCAGGGAAATGTAAGTCAAAACTATGGTGAGATATCCCTTACACCTCTTAGGACTGTTATAAAAAGATGAAAGATAGCAAGTGTTAAGGAGGACGTGAGCAAAAGGAACACTAGTAGACTGTTGGTGGGAATGTAAATTGGTACAACCAATTTGGAAAACAGTGTGGAGATTCCTCAAAAAATTAAAAATAGAACTACTATATGATCCAGCAATCCCTCTTCTAGGCATATATCCAAAGGAAATAAAATCAGTACCTTGAAAAGTTATCTATGCTTCCATGTTCATTGCAGCTTTAGTCACAATGGCTAAGATTTGAACCCAACCTAAGTGTCCATTGACAGATGAATGGATAAAGAAATTGTATTGTAGTGTGTGTGTGTGTGTATATGTATACAAAATGTGATATTATTCAGCCTTAAAAAAGAAGGAGATTCTGCCATTTTCGACAACATAGATGAATCTGGGAGACATTCTGCTAAGTGAAATAAGCCAGAGACAGAAAAAATACTGCATGACCTCATTTATATGTGGACTCTAAAAAAGTTGAGTACATAGAAGCAGAGAAAGAACGATGGTTACTAGGGACCTAGGGGTAGGGAAAATGGGGAGATGTTGGTCAAAGGGTTCAAATGGACAGTTCTATGATGAATAAGTGCTGGAGACCTAATGTACACCATGGTGATTATAGTTAATAATTATGTATCATACACTTGATATTTGCTAAAAGAATAGATCTTAAGTTTTTTCACTACACATACAAAAAAGTAATTACATGAGGTAATGGATATATTACTTGTTTATGGTAATCATTATATGTATATCAAAACATCAGTGTACGCTTTGAATATATGTCATTTTTAAATTTGCCAATTATGCCTGCTTCAATAAAGCTTAGAATATGGAAAGTAATATTCATTTCACAAGGTTGTTAGAGTTGTGATAATATCTACAAAGCGCTTAATACAAGGCCAGCCATATGTAATAGGTGCTTAATGAATTAAAAGTAATTCCAAACCAAACAAACTGAGGGGTAAGTTTTATAAGTAGAGGAAAGTTAATTGAAGTATCCTTCTTTCTTTCATGTACCAGAGACACTTGCACTTAACAATTGTACAAAAATAATTTCTATGTCTGTCTCCCCTCTTCCGACTGTGAGATTTTCAAGATGGGAGAATGTCTTTATTGTTACGTACTCATATCTAGGATCATTGCTGACATGTAACACATAATCAATATTCGTTGCAGTGAGCTGAACTGAAATTGACCACCATTATCTGTTTTTCTCCGCATGCTACTGTATTGTGGGAAAATAGCTGAACAAATATTCCCTAACTGTGGAGTATGTTTGTGATTTTTCTGACTTAAAATAGGAAGTATTTGATATACATAACATTCAACTGCCGGGAGGGCTCTGGGCAATACCTCAAAGGGAGAGATGTCATCTGAACCTGAGAGCAGAACAACAGGACTGCTTTGAGGACAGATATGTCATGTATTAAGATGCTCTGGACTGAGAAAGCAAAAAAGTGTCGAATATGAATTAAATGGAAATTAAATGGACAAATCACAAGGACTCTGCTTCATTTATGTACAATCAAGCTGTTTCTCACACAGGCAAGTTCTGCCTGAGAGTCTGACTGGGGTGAGTGATAGCAAGGAGTTCCTTTCTTTCTTTCAGGTGTGGTAGGTGCTAAAGTTAAAAAGGTGAATCTCAGCTTCTACCCCTGTGAGCTAGTCTAGGGACAATGAGGATGTGCACTTCCCTTGCAATGTTCTACCTAATTTTCACCAAAATAATCCTTAAAGTTTATAAGTTTCTTTAAAAAAATTTTTAACCCTTTTTCTTCTTGCCCTGAGCATCATTGTGCTTCTGTCTTAGCCAAAGTTTCCCTCTTGCCCCCAGTGTTGTCGTTATAGTTCTGGTTCAACTTCCACATTGCCAAATTCCTAATAAATTATTATAATGGTCATTTCAGAATGGAGGGGACTACTGGTGAATTTAATTTCATTTATTTGGGCTTTTCCTTATTTTAATTTTTAGTTAAAAAATGTAATCCTTCACAAATTTGCATGTCATCTATGCATAGGGACCACGCTAATCTTCTCTGTACTGTTACAATTTTAGTATATGTGCTGCTGAAGCAAGCACTTCTTTGGGTTTCTTTATCATCTCCAAGTGGACATTACTTTTGCAATTAGTTAAAGAAGGTATTGAGAAAAAGAGAAAATCATCAACTTGCCCTGTAAATTCCTAATTATCTTCCTTTAAACATTTAAACTCATATAATCATATTAACATTTTAACACAGAAAATCTACACCCTCCCTCCCACCTCCCACCTTCTGAGACATTAATGTGCTACACTCCACAGTTTTTTGGGAACTGGCATTGTTCCAGAGAGTACAGGATTGGGGAGTTACCCAAGGCTTGGCATGATTTACGCTGAGTGAGATCATTGCCCCATCTGAGGGTTTTTCACAGTCCAGAATGTTGAGGGATGCAGGACTCACTCCAAATGCCACATGAATCTGTGGACTGTGACCCACTAATCACATATCCCAAGAGGGGCTGCTAGATATGTTTTAAGAAGCCAGTTGGTATCAATTAATATTACTATTTTCTTGTCAGCTTGCTTTTGACACTTCATGAAATTATACATTAGCTAGTTAGCTCTCTTCTCAATTATCTTTACTATGTTTGCACTAATTTAATTTGGAATTGATACAACCATTGCCACAGTTTTCAGTGTGGCAAAATCTTATTCATTAAATCCAAGGACCTATATAAAGTTAAAGATGACAGAATATTAGAAGTGTGTTCAACTGTGTTTAATAGGCTTCCAATGTGCAGCAGATACTGACTATGGCAGTTTCCTCTTTTCCAAGGGGATATGTTTCAAGACCCCCAGTGAATGCCTAAAATCATGGATAGTACCAAATCCCATATATACCATGGTTTCTTCTATACATACATAGCTATGATAAAGTTTGATTTATAAATTAGGCACCTTGGGAGATTAACAATAGCTATGAATAAAATAGAATTATAGCAATATGCCACTACCACTACTCTTGTGCTTGGGGGCCATTATTAATTAAAATAAGGATTATGTGAACATCAGCACTCAGATACTGTAATAGTCGATCTGATAACAGAGACAGCTGCTGAGTGCCTAGCGGGTGGGTGGCCTCTACAGCATGGACACACTTGTCAACGGGATGACTCCAGTCCCAGGAGGGATGGAGCAGAAGAGCTTGAGATGTCATCACGTTACTTAAAATAGCTTGCAATTTAAAACGTATGAATTGTTTATTTCTGGAGGTTTTTTTTTTTTTTTTTTTTTTTTTTTTTGAGACAGAGTCTCATTCTGCTTATTCTATCACCCAGGCTGGAGTACAGTGGTGCAATCTCAGCTTACTGCAACCTCCGCCTTCCGGATTCAAGCGATTTTCCTGCTTCAGCCTCCTGAGTAGCTGGGACTACAGGTGCGTGCCACCATGCCCAGCTAATTTTTGTACTTTTAGTAGAGATGGGGTTTCACTGTGTTGGCCAGGATGGTCTTGATCTCTTGACCTGGTGATCCACCTGCCTCAGCCTCCCAAAGTGCTGGGATTACAGGTGTGGCACCACCATGCCTGGCCTGGAGTTTTCAGTATAATCTTTTAGGATTGCGGTTGACTGTGGGTAACTGAAACTATGGCAAGCAAAACTGTGTGTAGCAGAAGCTACTGTATTTCTAAACTCAACATTTTCTTTTCACTCAGCTCCTCTTCAACCTGTAAGTACTCACTGACCTTAACATGATTTATTTTGAGTACAGGTCAAGGTTGAATTTACTTTCCTTAGCAATGACCCATGGTTGCTGAAATATTTATAGTGAAGAAGTTTTTGACTTTAATTTAAATTACAAAGAGAAGTTGTAGACTCGCCTTTTCATATTCATGGTCCTAGAGAGATTTGAACAATCTGCAAGTAATTGGGGATCCTCAAGAGTAGACTGGCCATATCCAGGTAGCAAATAGGTAAGCTATGGAAACAGATTTATTGACTTTGCTCTTCTTACTTTGAGATCATTATCTACAGAAGTGGTCTTACAATGGGTTGTTATTTTTTCATGTAATAGGCTTTTTTAGATAAATGAATGCTGGAGTAGAGAGTAATAAGTAGTGAGATTATACAAAATTGCAGAATTGTTTCTCCTGTAAACATGGAGAAACTTGGTGGACTTTTTAGGACTCCTTTTGTGGTGTTCAATCAGATATTTCCTTAATGCCCATGACAATCCTGTGGTTCTAGGAAGCCACTGACTACTTAAACATCAGGCTTCCAAAAATATCTCATTAAAATCTCACAGAGCCCTAACAAGTGAGAATGTGAAGCCTACTTTAGAAAGAAGGAAATGGAGGTGTAGAGTGGTTGGCAACATGCCCAAGGGCAGAGAGTTGACTAGCAGAACTGAGACTTGAGACTGAGCCTTGACTCCAAAGCTCATGTGCTTTCCACTGCTCTGGAATCAAGAGTTTGGAGACACTGGGTGAAGGGAGATTGGGTGCTGAGGGTAAGTGAAAAGAGGCCTTTGCAGACAGCCTTTAGCTAGTTGTACATTTTTTCCTTGTTATTAGATAGGTCTACTCTCCGAAGCCAGATGGTAATTGAGAGGCAGCTCTTTGGATCTGGAACCAAGGCAGTCACTAGTGATGTAGGGCAGCTGAATTTGAATGGTGTGTTGAAAAATGCTCACACTGGGGTTTCACTGCACCCTGTACTCTCCCTGCTGCTCTCTGGCATCAGTCTGTGGGCCTCAGGCAAGCCTCTGACCTCCTGAGCCTCAGTTTCCTTATCTGTCAAAGGAAGGCAGTGAACTAGACGATATGTAGAGACCCTTCCTTCTGTGATATTCGGTGTTGCTGATAGAGCCTCACTCTGAACAAAAAGAGATTAATCAATCCATTACAAATTGAATGGTTGTTAAAAGTTCTCCCATCTTATTTTGGTTTCAGAAATATGTAACACTGTACTGTTTTGGTAATATTTTCTTCCTCTCAGGGTAGATATAGTATATGATGAAAATTAAAAGAAGCCTGTGAATAGAAGTGAGAAGAGTTGGGACAGTGAATCAGGTGGCAGAATATCTGGAAGCTTCTTGCAGACACAGATGGTCGGCATAAACTGTTGTGGCGGGGAATTTGTGCCAGACATCCCATGGAGTTTATTACTAAATGTGGGATCAGTAAACTTTTAAAAACATACTGTGCATGTAAAATCATTTAACATGCTGCAAGTGCAAAATCTTTTTATTTCAGCAATACCTAATCCTTCCTTTCTGCTTTATAAATAATTTAAATTAAAATCTCAGCTTTGGTGTTGAACAGTTTTATTTTTACAATATTGTTGAATGACTTATTAGGAAAAGTGAAGGTTCTGATTGTTTGGTAACCCCTGGTTCTAGGATATGCTTCACATAACCTCCAAAAAATTTTTTAAGACGGAAATACTGTAAAGAACATTTAAGTATACAATTAATGTGAAACACTGGAATAAAGTGAAAGGATATTATGCCACAGTGTGTGGTCTGAGTAAAAAGCATTAAGATTGAACCAGCTGCTATACTCTGCACTAAAGCAAAACAGTTAATTTTATAATGTAGCCAGCAACCATAATTAGGGAATGGTTTTATCTTTAAAATGTAGCCCTGCGTAGTAAAGCCAGAAAGCCTTGCAGGTGGAAGCTGGGATTTTTGTGGAACATTAAAATATTTCAATGTAAGAAATCCAAGCTGCAGAAATTTGTAATTGAATATATGCTCTTTCCTCTGCATATAATAGTTAATATTTTACAATTTATAGTTATTTTCACATATATTGTCAGACTTGATCATTGTACCCCAGAAGGTATGTGGAAGATATTACTGCATTAACAGCTTCACTTTAGAGATGAAAAATTGGGCTTCAGGCTAATGACTTGCCCAGTTAAAATAACTAGTAAGCAACATAGCCTGTACTCAAACTGAGTTTCTATTGGAGAATCTCTCTCATCAGCTGTAGATAAAAGCTTCATGGAAGAATACTTAGTAGTACTCATTTTGTCCTGAAATGAGTTGTAGACATGGGTATAATTTCTGGTTTGATCTTCAGGCAAAAATATTTACACTTGAATCCCCAAGTTCATTCTTACCTAAGTAAGTAGTCCGTGAATTGATATTATTATGTCTATTTTCTGGAGAAATTGAATTTGAGGTTTTTAGAACCAAATAAAATTGCCAAAAATCTTCTCTGAGTCAATGTTAGTTTTTAAACTCCAAATATGTTGAAGCCAAAGGACATTGGCTGCCTTCTTTATTCAGCATGGCTAACGGAGCCATGTAAACTTTATATATAAACACATGTAAATAAATATACACAGAAAAATAAACTAATGGAGTACATAATGTTGGAAGAAATTATTAGGTTAATGAGCCCAACTTCCTTCTCATGGCACGAATATAATTCATACATCTTTGGCAGGTATTTGTCTAGTTCATTGCTTTAAAAGGCAATCCATCTTTTAGAGGATAGCAATATTCATTACGGACTTCTTTCCCAAAATGAATCCAACCCTGCTTCTTGTCAACTTCCTTTAATTGGTACTAGTTCCACCTGCTAGAGACCCTCAACATTAGTCTAAGTTCTCAGGAAAGCTTGTTTTGTTTGGTTCCTTTTTCTCTAGACCCCATTAAGTTATTATTTATGACATCGTTTCTAGACTCATCTACTTTCTAGTCCTCATTCCTTTAAAGTGTTTGTTAATGTATCCCTTAAATGCAGTATGTAGAGTTGAACAGAATAATCTAGATGTAATGATATTGAGTAGTGATATGACCAATGCTCTTGTTTTGGACACAACAATTATATTCATTCTCCTTATATGTTAGTGCCCTGCCAGAAGTTTGACAGATAGCTGGCTGAGTGTGGTGGTGCATGCCTGTCATCCCAGCACTTTGGGAGGCCAAGGTGGGTGGATCACTTGAGGTCAGGAGTTTGAGACTAGCCTGGCCAACATGACGAAACCCCATCTCTACTAAAAATACAAAAATTAGCCAGGTGCAGTGGTAGGTGCCTGTAATTCCAGCTACTTGGGGGGCTGAGGCAGAATTGCTTGAATTTGGGAGGC